TGATGATTCAGGCTTGTCGCTTCTTTTATGTCTTTCTCCAGTCTCTTTTGAGGGACTTATGGTAGTGCTGTTATCTTGATGCTTGCTCACTATGGGATGAGGACAATTCGCCTTGAAGTGTCCTGGCTTTCGACAATTATAGCATAACAGCTGCGAGTCCATGGTTTCGGTTTTTGAGATTTGAGGAAAGCTCTCATGCTTCTTTCGGTGGCCCGATCGTTGTGGGTCTTGAAAGTTGTTCTTTCTCATGAACCTTTTCATTTTCCTGACAAATAGTGCATATTGTTCATTAGATAAAAAATCACAAGAGTTAGATTTCGACCTGTTGGATGTTGATGCTGATTGATTTGCCATGAGAGCAATGTTTCTTGTTTCTGAATCTTCGGCATCTTTCGGTTCATGTTCGAACTCATAAGCTTTGAGATCACTGAAAATTTTGGTCGTGCTTGTTGTTTTCATATCTCGAATATCCCTCATTGCAATAACCTTCATTTCCCATGATTTTGGTAGTCCACGAAGGATCTTCAGATTCATCTCCTTCTCAGTTAGCTCTTTCCCAAGATCTGATAGATCGCCCATAAGTCTGGTGAATCTGAGTTCCATCTCCATGATTGTTTCATTTGGCAGCATTTTGAAATCTTCAAATTTCTTCATGGCCATTGTCAGTTTGTTGTCTTTTTCTTGCTCGTCTCCTTCTCCCAAACTCATTAGGACATTCCACACTTCCATGGCATTCTTGCACTTTCGGACCCTGGGAAACAAGGAATCATCCAGAGAGTTGTAGAGAATATTTCTTGCCACATTATCCAGATTTGCTCTTGTTCTTTCGTCCGTGGAATACTGGTCTTTTGTCTTTGGTATCATCTGTGGAGCTCCTGCTCCCTGTGCGGCTGGTTGTGCATTCGCCATCATGACTGTGATTGGTCCGGTTGTTATGACGTCCCACATTTCATCATGAATAGAGCATAGGAGAGCCTGCATTCTTAACTTCCAGTCATCAAATTTAGCAAGACTAAATGCAAGTTGCTTAGAGCGGTGTGCATGTCCCTTTTCCATTTTTGAGTAAAAAACGTGCAAAGAAAATATGCAAGATTTTCAAGAGGTTTTCGAAAAGGGATCTACCAGGCAGTAAATGCAAAGCCTTTACCGATCAAGGTATTGGCTCAGATACCACTTGTTGGTCCCGATAGAATGTAAAGAGAGTCTAGAGGGGGGGGGGGGAGGGGGGGGGTGAATAGACTCTTTTCGTGAAATGCCCTAAACGTCACCTTTCGGTGTTTTGGCGCAGCGGAAAAGATTGATTCGTTTTAAATACTTTGTACGAGTTTGCGTAATTATGGAAACTTTCGGTATCGGTGATAAAAGGAATGATGCGAATGCAGAAAAGAAAAGCGTAAGTAAAGAGATAGAAGGGACATGAGATTTTATAGTGGTTCGGCCAAACGTTGCCTACTCCACTCTTCTTCCACAACTGATGGAAGGATTGCACTATCACTCTTAGTACAATAACACAAAGACTTCCTTGATCACTAAGCTGGACAGCCTTCGTAGGTTTTTCAACTCCTCGAGTTTACTCCGCCTCTATCAACTTCTTCTCTTGAGTTGAGGTTGGTAGAAGATGATTTCTTGAATTCTCCAACGATGAAGTCTTGACTTTGAGATAAGATTGCTTCGAACAAATGGCAAGACTTCTTTTGAGGTGTAAGAAAGAGATCAATAACCTTCTTCAAGTAACTTAGCACCTCAATACTGGTTCACAAAAGCTTTTAGTAAATTGAGAGCGTTCAAGAGCTTTTGCAAGTAAATGAGTCGAGTGATAATGAACCAGCACCTTCTTAGTTGATGAAGGTGGGTTTATAAAGGTGATGAAAATTCATCCGTTGGAGGGAGATGAAATTTTCGAACCTTTTAACCATTGGACAAGGACCGGGGAGCTTCATGCATTAAATGCTCCATTAATGAGGTTGTACCATGTAGCCGTTGAAGGTATGGAAAGCATTAGGTTTTGTCCTTTAGCTTCAGGAGATGGTACATCTTCATTTAATGCTCCTTGAAAAGTGTGCCCCATAAGATGAAGTCCTTATTGTCCTAGGATGTTGTCAAATCAGACAGGTAGGACATTCATCTCGTTGTCAAAGAGAAGTAATGTTTGATAAAGATTGTCTTTTAACAAAACTGTTCTTTCGTGCTAGTTGACAACTCCTGCTTGACTTTCGTTGCTGTTCTTCATGTCTCGTGTCTTTTTTCGCCTTGTAGATCCTAACATCTAGTCATAACTCATTTTCGTGTGTTTGTCTAGCTTAACACGAATTACAGAGGAGTTATGGCAACTCTCGTCTAGGACGAAAGCAGCGATTGAAAAAGTTAATAGTTAGGGGTCTACTTTTCTATATTACATTGGTATCATCAAAATCCTAATACAATGTTCCTAACAAGGAGTATACCTAATGATTGTCTATCATGTGTTGGTTTAATTCGTTTGTTAGGCTTTAACTTCCCATTTTGCCAAGTGATTACAATTTATAGATTAATTAAAGAGTAGCCACAGCATCTTTAATTTACTAAAAATTGTTTAAAGTTCAAACCACATAAAGATGGCAGTGATAAATGCCTAGTGATCCTATAATTTTAATTAGTTGGGGAGTAACAGCATCCTTAATCAGTTAAAATTATATATTGGGTCACTTAAAATTTGATAAATGTCTAGTGATCTTATAATTTTAATTAGTTGGGGAGTAGCTACAACATCCTTAATCAGTTAAAATTATATATTGAGTTGTTAGGATCACATAAAGTTTTAGACATATCAATTGTGATTAATTGTATGTAATATGATGGAATTTAGCCCACAAGCAATTTCGTTATATTTGTATGATTAATTAGGATGAAATACTGAACTATGATCATAATTTAGCCCACAGGCAATTATGTATCGGAATGTAGTTTAGTAGTTTTATCAGTGATGATAGGAATAAAGAATTTTATTTACTTTATGAATAATTCTCATCTCTATCATGAAGCTTAATTTTATGATGTAAACTTTAGGTCATATATCTTAATTTGCCCACAGGGATTAAGATAGAAGATGATCTCTTAAGTTTTTTTGTCATAATGGTAGTAATGAATCTAATTGAATTAAAACTTTAGCCCACATGCAAGTTTTATGTCACTTGATTCTTCAACTCATTTGCTAATTGTTTCATCATAAAATTTCAGTTGGGTCTAATTGAGTAGAACTTTAGCTCACAGGCAAGTTTTATGTCACTAGATTCTTCTGACTATTTAGTAATTGAGATAAAATACTATCATAATTGTTTAATTAAATTTAATAGATTTAAAACTTTATCCCACAGGCAAGTTTTATGTCAATAAATTCATCAACCCATTAGATAATAAATTTATCCCAATTTCTTAGAATTTATAATTTAATTTAGTTCAATTATAATTCTAAGTTTCATGGTTTGCATTGGCAAAACATGTATTTAGTCACTTTCCAAAATTTAGATACACCTTTTATTAATTATTTTTCACGAAGCTTACTTGGTTATTTGGACTAACTATAGTAAGTTGCGTGGTATGATATACCTCTTTTGGATTCCAGTAATAAAATATATCTTCTGAGCCGAATTCCAACATGGTTTTGGAAGGCGTATTTTATTATTTTAGTATGTCCAACTATGGTGGAGAATCATATCCTCATTAATTATTCATTTAGTTGTACTATAATTGGAACCAAATATTGATTATTTAGTATGCCCAGCTAATGGTGGGGAATTATATCTTCATTATTTAGTTGGTCAAATCAATTATAAGTGTTATATCATTAATTTGGCTAAAGAATATCTTAATCAGTGGGAGTGATCATTTAGAAAAGATCATTAAAATACTCCACTAAAGCTGATGGATTTAATTATTTTCATACATTCCAAATTGGACTGTGCGTCTAGCAATAAGTCCAAAAGTTTCCACAAGTATAAATTTAGTTTTTGTTCTTATAATTCATAAGTTCGTTTCATTGAACGTTTGGTTGTACAACATATTTATGAAAATGTTGTAACAATATTAATGAATTTATTAGAATGAAAGCATTTAACTTGTGGTGCACTGTCGATTAATAAATTCTTTAGCAGTTAATAGAGTCTTTAGTTTCTTCAAAATTGATCCTGGGTCATTTTGGTTTGTAAGGGTCAAAATAATTTTGCAAGACATATAAAGACTCGTAATGTTCAATTAATTTCGAGGTGAACCTTGAGATTATTTGGGAAGTTATGGTGTATGTTTAAGATTCCAAATTATGGACATAGACCTTTTGGTTTGTTGTCTAAGTTATTGGAATATTTCTGTGACTTGACTATCTTTTGGCTATCTTAATGAGTGGGAGTGACAGACGTGTCAACTCCAAGCTCTTAGCCATTAGAGGTAGTGTTTATGTTAACTTATAAAGAAGTCATAGAATATAGTTAGCATTATGCTAACATTAAGAGATCTCTACTTAAGGCATGCTTCTAAGATTTTTGAGATCATACAGTGAATTTGGATGGTTTCTTCCTTCAGTTGTGCACATAATATATTTTGAGAAACATCCATTAAGGGACTAAGAATAAACGTAGGGTTTGTTCATTAAGAACCTAAGTTAGGGAATGTGATCATAGAAGATATTACTCACTTGATTAGTAGATGACGTATTACTATGATTCATGTGTTTTGTTCTTTAATAAAGGTTGTGCCAGTACTTGCACCAAGTGGGAGAATGCAAGTATTTTTCCTAAATACAATATATTATAATATATTGTATTATTGGGTGGCTGTGGTACAAGTAGGAGATTGAGTCAATTAGTGACTTAATTTGTTATGCAACTCAGGATATTCAGTTAAGCTTTAACTGAATATCTGCCTACGTTGATGGCATGTAGGCTTCTAAGCAAAATAGTCCTCCCACCGCTCCCGTGTTCAGGACGCGCACCATCACGTATTCGGGAGAGAAGTGGTAGACAAAATACTAACCTTTATTCTGCAGGTTTACCATCTCGTGGCAATACCAATGAATATGGCTGGGGATATTCGGGCGATCAAAAAGCTTCCGCTGTAACGAGGCAGGTTACTCGTTTACTATAGTTTATGTTAGCCTTAATATTATTATCTAACATCAGAACTCCAGACCAGAATTCTAAAAACTGGTTTTTAATTTTCCTCATACACAACTTCAGTCAACATTTGTTTTTTATACAGCCCCTTAGCTTATCCAGATAAAGCTCCTTAGTCTTTTGCACAAGCTCCCCTTTTTTACTCTCAAATTCTTGTGGCCCTAATTCTTCCTTTATTTTTGCCATATAGGCATGAATCTCCTGCCTAGTCTCATCCCATACCTCCTTGTTTACTACAAAAGACTGAGCCATGGCAGTTTTGGTGGCTGACCCCAAATCTTTGGGTCCCCTTCTTACATCATTTCGTTCAATGATCCCAACCACACTTGGATGATTCAAAATAGAAGGGGAGACCATGTTCTCAGGAGCATTTTTTCGAGCAACTTGTCCCCCTTTCACTGATCGGCATTTTACTTAATTGAAATTGTTATGTGATATGATTTTTTTTTTTCAAATGTTTAAATTTTTTGGAATCTTTGCATGGTATGAATTAATTTTATTTTTTTTTGGAAAGGGCATGGTATGAATTATTTTATTTCAAAGTTTATAAAATAATATACATATTTAAATTTTTTTTAAAATGTCAAATATACCCTTTAACTATATACCAATAATAATAATAAAAACAATAACGATAACAACAACAACAACAATAATAATAAGATCATTGAACTTTAAAAAATTTAATTGAACATATCAAGTCCTCAATTTGGTTCAATTGATTGATAACTTGTTAAATTGATGCATTTAGTTCAATTGGTTGGTAAAATTGAAACTAATAACTGGAAATTTATTTTTTAAAAAAAAATATTAAAATAATTTTTTTTAATAGAATTGTTGGCTTCTCTCTTTCTTAGGTCAGGCTTGTTCAGTCGTCGTCAACTTTGACTTTTTTAGAACTTGTTTTCTCTCTTGGCCTCTACAAACCGGCTTAGACAAAATTAAGGATGAAAATAGGCTAGGTCAGATCGAACTTTTAAAAATTAGGCAAATTATATCAAAGATTGGGTTTATATTGTATTATGAATTCTAGTCCAAAAATAATATTTAAATATTGTATGTGTGTCTTCAGTTAACACATTTTGTACATGTAATTAACCGTTTTTGTACTTGTAAAGAAATATCATAACCATTACCATCTATATATTTTACGAAATCAGAGAAAGTTTAAGGAGGGGGACTTAACTAACCTTGAACCAATTTTGAATTCAAGGAACCCTCAAACCACTGCAATTTCTTATCTCAACACATTCAAGACTCTCCAATCCAGGAAGCTCAACCTCAACCAAACTTTTGCAATTGGGAATATATAATTCTTTCTGAAAAAACCCGTGTATCTTGAAATCAATTTAACACTAAGGATTCTACTTGATTTTATGTTATGAGACAATTTCGCTGTTTAATTAAATCAATTTAATCAACGTATAAATAACGAAATTGAAAGCATAAATAAAGTAAAGACACAGTAGAATTGTTACGCAGTTCGGAGCTACTTCTCCTACGTCTGCGGGGCAACCCACGTCTGCCCAATCCACTAGATGTTCACCACAGAGTATTACAAGAGGTAACTACAAACGGCTCACAGCCTTTACCACTACAACTCTTCTAAAACACCTATTCAGGACTGAACCGTGCATGCCATACCCATCTTTGGTGTAGCACTTCAGCTGTCACAGGTACTGGTTTGAAGTACAGATTTAAATCACTAATAATATAATCAATATTAAAACAATAATTTAGGAAGCTTGCGTATGAGATCAGAATTTCAGAATTGGCAATTTCCTCTTTCGACTTCCCTTCCTTATATACTGTACGCAACTCCCATTCCTCCAATCCTTGATTGTAGCTTTCACATGTGGCTTGAATTCTTCTCAACCACATCTTCTTTAATTTGAGATCTTCAGACTTGCTCTTTGTCCAATTCATTAACAATAAATCTCCACCACACATTTTAGCTTGGTCCAATAATACTAATTACAAATCAATTTAATTAACATTACATATTAATAAAATAAACTAATAAATTAGCCAATCTAATGTGTACTAATTTGTACACTTACAATCTCCCACTTTGGCAATTTATTTGGTAAAACAATAGTAACATTATACTTTAGGAAAACGAACAAATATTTTATTAATATCCCATAACATACGTACTGAACATATAGAGAAAAATAAATATGCAATTTTAATTCTTTTAGGACCAGACCAAAGCTTAATTGTGTGTGGAATTTTATTTTGAACCTTGGTTGATGTTGACTCACATACTTCATCCAATTAATAAAAAGTGAATCATGCACGAAATAGTGTTGTATCAAACATACCATATATGTCACGCTTTCCATACTGTAATTTGAATTACTCCCCCTAACTTGGAGCTTTCCTTTCTTCATATGCATTCCAATTAAAACCAATTCATACCATGCAGTCAACATACCAAATATACCAAGACATTCATACTTAATTCATTCATAGTCATACCAAAAATATTTATATAGTCATACCAAATTATTAATAGCATCCGAACCAAGGATTACCAAAGTATACCAAAAACCAAAAACTTACCAAACATCCAAACATTTCAAACATTCCCATACTCCCCCTTTCTCCAATACTCCCCCTTTGTTTATGCCAAATAAATGACAAACAAACCGGTGAACATCATTCTAGTGGATTGGATTAACTTGCAGACGGGGTGCCCGACTCATATTCATCACTCTCAGAAATAGAACCAGTGCCAGCGCCAGTATTAGTTCGAATCCGAGCATTGATGGCCTCCATTCTGGCTATTTCTTCCAACTGAGCGCCCAACAACTTTTCTAAGCCATCAATGGTTATTTGTTGAGAAGCAACCGATGTGCGAACTAGGCACAATGTTGCATTTTTCTGTCAACTCTTCCACATTGATGGATTTCTCCAGAATAAAATCCCTAGTAGAATGAACACTCCAATCAGACATCAAATCCGGAGACAGTAAGATAGGGTGATATTTCTTCTTGGGTTGTTTCATCTTTGAGCCAGAAGGGACAGTAGCAGCTGCTGGTGCAGGGGCTGCACTTGGTACTGGGCCTGAAACTGATCTGGACCTTGTCATCCTGGGTGGCAATGTGGGCCCTCGTTTTGATTGCTTGGAATCAGACAAGCAGACAACATCCTCCAATGCTCCAATTTTTCTTTTCCCGGCAGTACCTGAAACAGTAAGTTTCTCTTTCCCTTTTCGGGAAGATTTGCTCACGGGCACAGAGACGATAGGGATAGTGTTATGAGAGGTGGACACATGTATGGGAGCCTCTGTTGGGGAAAATTCGGATAGAGTATGTCGTAGACCTGGTGCTACTGTTTTTTATAGGCTGAGAATGGATGAATCCTGAAGGGATTGGTGACGTGTGCAAGACACTACCTTAAAAGAAAAAATTTCCCGGAGACGGTTGTAGTCTTACCGGTTGCTTTCGACCAGTTAACACCGAAGCTCAGGATTGCAGAAGAGAAGAAGAGAATTTGATGAGTGAATAGAACTGAGGAGAAGCAGGGTATTTATAGTATTGGAAATACCCGCCCCTCCCCTCTCAGCCATTCATGCTCCACGATTTTAGGAAGAGTTGTGGTGAAAATGCCCACAAGAATAGGAAGACTTGTTGTAGAAATCTACCTCTAAAAAGGAAAAAACTCGGAATTAAAATAAAGTCCGAGTAAAACGCTGACCCCAGCACACCACACCGCGACGCGCGTGCGAACCGAACCGAACCGAACCGGGCCGGCCGGGCGGCGGCGGCGCGCGTGTGGAGTTCCCTTTCCTTCTCTCTCTACAATAGTTTAAGCCTTCCAAATGGGTTGGTATTAAAAAGGTGGGAATTAGTCCCTTATCCTTCCAATGTGGGACAAGAGTGTCTTCCTTCTACACACTTTAAACCACCATCTTGAATGTAATCTCCAACAATCCCCCACACATTCAAGGTGGCAAGAAGAAGACGAAATTTCTGGCATGAGTGCTGATCTTAATGTCAGTGGTTGTACCTTGAACTGACACGTAGTGACTTGAGTAACTTTCTCCTTTGATAGTGAATTAGATCTTGAACTATCGAAAGAAGAGTTAGTTTTGAACTCAGTTCACACACCAGCAATCACCCTGTAAGTATATATAACTTGGTTTTTCTCGTAAGGTCAACTCTTTGACCTGAGACTTATCTCTGAATAGGTGTGTTTAGCTTCCAGGTTTATATGACCTCGAAGTTTGCTCACTGTATTGCTATTAAGCCCATCTCCCTCGATGTCTCGAGGATGGCTCTTTTGTTTAGCCCCTTCGTGAGAGGATCTGCAATGTTCTTTTCGGATTTCACATATTCTAGTGAAAGTACGCCACTTAGAATTAGTTGTCTCACAGACTCATGTCTGACTCTTATGTGTCTCCTCTTACCATTATAGGCACTATTTTTGGCTACGCATATCGCAGCTTGTGAGTCACAATGTATGGGCACTGACGGCGTAGAAGACCCCCACAATGGCATGTCTGCCAGTAGGTTTCTAAACCACTCAGCCTCTTGCCCTGCTAGATCAAGAGCTATAAATTCAGCTTCCATCGTTGATCTGGCTATGCACGCCTGTTTCGTGGATTTCCACGATACTGCTGCTCCTCCCATGGTAAAAACATACCCGCTGGTGGAGCTCACCTCATCACTATCATTCACCCAATTCGCATCGCAATACCCCTCTAGGGACGCTGGGAAGCCAGAAAAGTGCAATCCCCAGTTCATTGTTCCCTTTAGATAGCGTAACACTCTCTTTAGTGCATTCCAATGGGTATCGCTGGGATTATGAGTGTATCGACTTAGTCGATTTACCGCAAGTGCAATATCCGGTCTGGTATAGTTCATTAAGAACATCAGACTCCCAATTATTTTCGCATATTCCTCTTGAGACACACTTGCCTCTGTGTTCTTCGAGGGTTTTGCACTTGGGTCATATGGAGTTTGCGCAGGGTTCACTTCAAAACTGTTAAACTTCTTTAGCAGTTTCTCTGTGTAGTGACCCTGTGATAACTTGTAGCCATCTTTCTCTTTGATGACTTTCACTCCAAGTATCACATCGGCTTCGCCCATATCTTTCATATCAAACTTGTCACACAGAGACCTCTTTGTCTCTTTTATTGCATTTATATTTGAGCTAAAGATTAGCATATCATCTACATAAATGCAAATCAAGACAATGCTAGACTCAATCTCTTTTGAGTACAAACAAGCATCTGATCGGTTTACCGTGTATCCCAGATCTAATAGTGTTTTGTGGAACTTCTCGTACCACTGTTTGGGAGCTTGCTTTAACCCATATAGGGATTTTACTAGTCTACATACCTTCCCTTCTTGCCCGGGGTTGGCGCATCCAGGAGGTTGAGACATGTAAATTTCTTCTTCCAGGTCTCCATTTAGGAAAGCTGTTTTTACATCCATTTGATGGACCAGCCACTTGTGAGAAGACGCTAGAGCAAACAATATGCGTATTGTGGCTATTTTTGTTATAGGGGAATAGGTGCAGAAGTAGTCCTCACCAAACTTCTGTTTATATCCCTTAGCCACAAGTCTTGCTTTGTACCTTTCAATTGACCCATCGGGTCTCATCTTCCTTTTGAAGATCCACTTACAGCCAATAGGTTTGGCTCCCTTCGGTAGGTCTACAACCTCCCAAGTGTGATTAGATTTGATTGAATCTAGCTCACTTTGAATTGCTTCTTTCCAGAAGACCGCATCGACTGAGCGCATAGCTGCCTCAAAGGATTTTGGTTCCTCCTCTAGAATTAACTGACACACAAACTGATCAGAAATTTCATTAATGTCATTTACTTCAGAAATGTACGTAATGAAATCAGGCCCAAAACTTGTCTCGGTCCTTTTTCTCTTACTCCTTCTAGGTTCTTCTGACTCAATTTCTGTTTCAGAAGTTGAAGGTAGTGAGGACGAGACTTTTTCATATGTATTTGATCCACGTTTTAGTGGAAATATGTGTTCGAAGAACTCGGCCTCTCGTGCCTCGCACATAGAGTGGCCGTCTAGGTACATAAATCTATATGCAGCGCTATTTTCTGCATACCCTACAAATATTGCATCTGAGGTTTTAGGGCCAAGATTAGGTTTCTTGAAGTAAGGAAGACCTACCTTGGCCAGGCACCCCCACACTTTGAAGTATTTTAGATTGGGTGCGTAACCTTTCCATAGCTCATATGGAGTTTTTTCATAACCTTTGTGAGGTATCCTGTTGAGGACGTGGTTAGCTGTTAATGCAGCTTCCCCCCACAAAGAGTTAGAAGCACCTGC